TCCTCTTCCCTCCTGCCACCACTTTCCTGTAACCACAAACTTCTGCCTGAACCTCTATCACTACAGTTTTTTAAACCTACCCCAAACCTCTTCGACCATTTCTATGCTCGCATTACCCATCTATCCTCCAATAGCTGTTTATATTTTTTCCCTAACTGCCTCCTCTTTTAGTTTATAAACCTTCACCTCTCTCTTCCCTTACGCTTCTATTCTCACTTGTATCCCTATCTACCTTTTACTCTCAGTGTAGCTACAACTAAAAGTGATCTTAATATCTGTGGCCCCTCTATAACAATGTACATTCCTGTAGTCACCAACAGTCATTTATCTCCAATTACATAATCCAACAAACTTACTGTCATTTCGGCCCTACATCATGTCTTTAATACTTATTTATCCTCCCTTTTTCTTAAAATATGTATACCTATAACTAAACCCTTTCTATACAAGTTCAATCAAAGGGCTCCCATTATCATTTACACGCTGCACCTCCAAACTTGCCTACCACACCCTCTCTAAAAGTTTCTCTACTTAGCATTCAGATCCCCTACCAACAATTACTCTCTCACTTGGTTCAAAGGCTCCTATACATTCACTTAACTTCTCCCAAAATCTCTCTACTCTCCTCTGCATTCCTCTCCTTCTTCCAGGTGCATACACGCTTATTATGACCCACTTTCGCATCCAACCTTTACTTTAATCCACAGAATTCTTGAATTTACACATCATTTCCTCCTTTTCTCCTTCCAAAACTGATCATTCAACATTACTGCTACCCCTTTCCTTTGCTCTAACTCTCTCAGATACTGGCCAGATTTTAAACCCATTTATTCCCCCCACCGAAAATCCCCTACCCCCTTTCAGCTTTGTTTCGCTTAGGGGCCAGGACATCCTACTCGTTTCATTCAAACATCAGCAATCATCTGTTTCTTGTCATCCGCACTACATCCATGCTCATTTCAAGAATCCCATTTTATAAAGTTTTTTCTCTCTCTTTTTTTGTAAATGTCTATCAGGAAAGGGGTTACAGCCATTGCTCCCTAGCATTTTAGTTGCCTCATACGACACGCATGGCTTACGGAGGAAAGATTCGCTTGGTCCACTTCCAACATGGAACAATAGAGAAATATAAAAGAACAAGAGGTATTTAGAAAAAGGAAAAAACCTAGATTAGTATGTAGAATTTTTTTTTTTTTTTTTTTTTCAAACAAAGTCGGTCCGTCCTCCCCCACCGAGGCATGGGTGACCCCATAAAAGAATGAAAATCCCCAAAAAGAAAATACTTTCATCATCATTCAACGACTTTCACCAAACTTCTGCACATTATCACTGTTTTTGGCAGAGGTGCTCAAATTCAACAGTCTAAACATTACACAGTGATAAAGATACACAACATATCCCTCGGGGCGGGGGGCGGGGGGAACTGGCGCAGCGGCGAGGCCAAACCCCTCCTTTTAAAGTGCAGCAATTGTAACTATCCCAAATTTCCAGACTCAATCCTACTATATGAATAAAAAAATTAACCGGTTTCCCTGAATCCCGTTCACTAAATATTACCCTGCTCACACTCCAACAGATCCGTCAGGTCCCAAGTACCATTCGTCTCATTTCACTTCCTATTCTAACACCTCTCCACGCTTGCTGGAAAGACCAAGCCCCTTAACCCACAAAACCTCCTTTACCCCCCTCTCTCCAACCCTTTGCGAGGAACGACCTTACCCCGCCTTCCTTTCCCCTATAGATTTATATGCTTTCCATGTCATTCTACTTGATCCATTCTCTCTAAATGGACCAAACCACCTCAACACCCCTCTTCTGCCCTCTGACTAATACTTTTTTAACTCCACACTTCTCCTAATTTCCCACATCTCCGAATTTTCTGCATAATATTTACAGCCACACATTGCCCTTTATAACAGGACAACGCCACTGCCTCCAACCTTCTCCTCGCGCTGCATTTACCACCCAAGCTTCACACCCATATAAAGTGTTGGTACCTACTAACTTTCATACATTTCCCTTTCTTTCTCCATAGATTACGTTTTTTTGACTCCATCATATACTCAACGCACCACCACCTTTTTTCCCACATCAATTCTTTGATTAACCTCATCCTTACATTAATTCCATCTGCCGACACGTGGGTCAACTCCCAAGTATCTTAAAACATTCACTTCTTCCATACCCCTCCTCCCCAATTTTGTATCCATTTTTTCTTTAATCTAAATCATTTGACACCCTCATCACCTTACACTTTTCTATGTTCACTTTCAACTTTCTACCTTACACACATTCCCAACTCATCCACTAACCTGTGGCAATTTATTCTTTAGAAATCTCCCATAGCCACAGATCATCACATAAATAACTGTGTCAATTCACATTTTGAATTTGAATTCCCATATTTTAATCCCTCACCCCTCTCTCCAAACACCCTAGCAGTTACTTCCTTTAACAAACCCCATCTATAAATATATTAAACACCAGGTGACATTTACACATCCTCTGTCTATAGACCTACCTTTTAACGGAAATAGTCTTCCCTCTCTCTACACACCCTATCCTGAGCCTCACTATCTTCATAAAAACTCTTACAGCTTTTAATAACGTACCACCTATCCAATATACTTGCAACATCTGCCCCATTGTCACCTCTATCCACTCTATCATATGCCTTTTCTAAATCCAAAAGCAATAAAAACCTTCCCTACCTTTATCTAAATTACTGTTCACATATATGCTTCAATGTATAACACGTTGATCTACACATCCCCTACCCACTCTGAAAAAACCTCCTTGCTCATCCGTAAACAATCCTACATTCTTCTTAACCTCTAATTCTTTCATTATATCCCTACCGTACACTTTTCCTGTATACTCCAGTAAGCTTATTCCTCTATAAATTTTTACAGCTCTTTTGTCCCTTTCCCTTTATATATAGGACAAGAGCGGATGCCGGGGGTCGGGGGCGCGCCAATCCCTAGGTACCCTTCCACTCTTTCATACATTTATTGAACAACAGTACCAACCACTCCTACACTATATCCCCCCTGCTTTTAACATTTCTGTCATGATCCCATCATACCATCTGCTTTACCCTTTCTATTTACGTAATGCCTCCACGTAACCTCCCCACAGCTTACATTCTGCTCTTCTTCCACGTCCTAAAAGAATGTATACCTCCCTGACTCAGTGCATGAAATTACTGCCTCTGTTTCTATCCTTAACATTTAAAAGTTCCCTCAACATATTCCGCCATCTACCTAATACTCCAATCTCCCCATCTACAACTCCCTACTCTGTTTTTTACTGACAAATCCATATTTTCCTTGGCTTTCTTAACTTGTTTAACGTCACTCCCAAAATTTTTTCTGTATTTTCCATTAAAATTCTTGACTAGTGCCTCTCCCACCTATCATCTGCTCTCCTTTTGCACTCTCTCCCACTCGTCGTTTTTGGTACCTTTGCGCGGGTGGAGAGTATCTATATCTACTATATCTATTTATTCTGCGCTCTTATAACACTTCTGCTTTGTAAAAACCTCTCATAAGCTACCTTTTTCTCTTTTATATATATACATGTATATATATGCATGTGCGTGTCTGTGAAGTGTGACCAAAGTAGGAGTAGCAAGATATCCCTGTTATCTAGCGTGTTTATGAGACAGAAAAAGAAACCAGCCATCCTACCATCATGCAAAACAGTTACAGGTTTCTGTTTCACAGTCATCTGGCAGGACGGTAGTACTTCCCTGGGTGGTTGCTGTCTACCAACCTACAACCTGTTTTACATGTTGGTAGGATTGCTGGTGTCTTTTGTCTGTCGCATAAACATGCAAGATTTCAGGTATGTCTTGCTACTTCTACTTGCACTTAGGTCACACTTCACAGACACGCACATGCATATATACACCCCTATGGGTATTCTTCTATTTTCTTTCTAGTTCTTGTTCTTGTTTATTTCCTCTTATCTCCATTGGGAAGCAGAACAGAATTCTTCCTCCATAAGCCATGCGTGTTGTAAGAGGCGACTAAAATGCCGGAAGCAAGGGGCTAGTAACCCCTTCTCCCATATAAATTACTAAATTTAAAAGAGAAACTTTCGTTTTTCTTTTTGGGCCTCCCTGCCTTGGTGGATACGTACCCGTGTGTTTGAAAGTAATATATGTAAATATACATTAGAACTATTTTATGCATGAAATTATTTGGTTTTGGTTATGGCAATCATGAAAATGTTCCTAAAGTTTTTTTGAGTATGATCTTATAGCTAAACTAAAGGAACACAGAATTATTACTGGGCACACTGCCTTGGTGGAACAAGCCATGTGTGAATAAAAAAATAAAAAAAAATATTAATTTCATGGAAAGCTATAAACCCTTCTGGGTGTAGGTGTTGAGGGAAGAACATAAGAAGAAAATAATACATTAATCAAACCACATAACGGGTGCAGTTTAAATCCACCACCCATTCCATAGTTTGTTTGCAATTGTGGTATTACAATTTCATGTCTTAATAATAATAATAATAATAATAATAATAATAAATAATAATAATAATAATAATAATCTTCCTAAGCTATGCATTTCATAAGAGGCAACAAATATGCTGGGAGCAAGGGGCTAGTAACCCCTTCTCCTGTAAAAAGAAAAACTTGTTTATCTTTTTAGGTCACCCTGCCTAGGTGAGATACAGCCACTGTGTTGAAAAAACAACAACAACAACAACAATAATAATAATAATTTTATTTCAGCATGATGCACTCGTTGTACAGAGATGGATGACATTTAGGTGTGCATGCAGAGCATTTTGGGCACACTTAAATTTTAACATCATAAATTTTGATTATTGTTAAATCATTCTGCTTCACTTCTGTCTTCTCTCACACCTGATCTCATTCTTGTCAGTTTTTGTGCTTGATGCACAAGTTTAACTTGCATCAAGTCTATGTCACCTAGAATACTGTAATTGACTCTTACTTCTACAGTTCCTGTATTTTTCAGAAATGTGGGCCATCTAACACATTGCGATACATAATCCGTGATGTGAAAAAGAATATACCTCGTGATTACCGCTACACCTTAATAGACATCGGCCTTGTTGTCAATAAATTAATGGGCGGTGCATATAGGTGGGTACAATATTTGGTAGTTATTATTGTTGCAACTGTAAATAATTTGTCTTTTTTGATTTTTCCATTCTCATCACATAGCTACTTTTTTTTTGTTTGTTTTCTGTGGTTATACTCCAGCAACCATTTTTCAACTATTCCTGAAGTCACCTGAGGTCTCGCTGCAATCTTATCATCCTCTATTTGTGTTTTTATTTTTTGGAATTAATCACTAAGAAGGAGATTAAGGAGGTTCTAACCTGTGGTTTCTTCCCTTACCTCAACTCTTAAATTAATGAATAAAGAAATAGATAAAAAATATATTTTAAAGTAGTTTATTATTACATATAGTTATTTAGGGAGGTTATAGTCAGTCGTAATACTCCTCTAATAGCTGAAAGAATGCAGTGATATACAGTAACAAGGTATAAGATTGCACATCTCTACCAATTTGTTGCCAGTTCGTTACCATTTAGAATAAATGTTTTTGAGAGTTCTTTGGGGTGGAATCAGGATCAGGGATTCCACTATTTCTGCCAGATATTAAACTGTTTTTGATTTAAATATTTATCTTCGTGCCTGCTTGTCATTTATTATAGCATTTCACCTTCATTGTTCAGGACCTGTTTACAGTCTGCAGGTGGCCCTTGTCCTGCATGCCTATCTTCATATGCGTGCAATACGTATTTGTGTCTCGGCTATTCTTTGGCTTGGAGCATCAGCAAATTCTCCTCTCTCCTTTCCATCTCAGCATACCAGGTCACACATTCCATATGGGAATCAATAGTAATGAGACTAAGTAACTCCAGTGGTGCATTTTTTGCACTAACTATAATTTTTAAAGGGGCGGAGGGGTAAGCCAGCGGAAGACCTCTATGAGATGAACAAAAGCTCCAGCTGTGGGTCATCATATGACTAAAACCCTCATCAAGAAACAACTGTCCTGTTTCCTGACAAATATTTCCTAACTGATGGTTAGGTAATGATGCATTCCTTGTCTGCAATGGAACCCCTGCTACTGGATCTCAGTGCTGCTGAGATCCAGTAGTACTAAAAAAACTTGTAGCAACCAGTTGCAGGGAGACTTGAAGTTGCTTTGCCTTTGTTTTATCAGTTCCTCTTCTTTCTTTCTTTCTTTCAACACACCGGCCGTATCCCACCGAGGCGGGGTGGCCCAAAAGGAAAAACGAAAGTTTCTCCTTTTACATTTAGTAATATATACAGGAGAAGGGGTTACTAGCCCCTTGCTCCTGGCATTTTAGTTGCCTCCTACAACATGCATGGCTTACAGAGGAAGAATTCTGTTCCACTTCCCCATGGAGGTAAGAGAAAATAAACAACAAGAACAAGAACTAGTAAGAAAATATTAGAAAACCCAGAGGGGTGTGTATATATATGCTTGTACATGTATGTGTAGTGTGACCTAAGTGTAAGTAGAAGTAGCAAGACATACCTGAAATCTTGCATGTTCATGAAACAGAAAAAAGGACACCAGCAATCCTACCATCATGTAAAACAATTACAGGCTTTCGTTTTACACTCAATTGGCAGGACGGTAGTACCTCCCTGGGCGGTTGCTGTCTACCAACCTACTACCTATACTGTTCCTCTTAACTCCTGTAATTGTTCCTCTTAATTGGTCCTGCAATGAGGGTCATATGCTGGATGTAGCAGTCACTCGTACATATAAGATGTAGTCATCTGCTGTTTACATCACATGAATAAAAATCTCTGCCACTAATGTTCACTGCAATAAGTGAATGATTTGTACTCTATGTACTCTTTGGTGCTTGTCATAGTATTTTAAGATGGACTAGTTTCTTTCTTTATACCTTTAGAACACAGGACATATATGGATTCCTTTGAGAAAGACTAATCTACCAGGATTCATATGATGCAACACTTGGGTATATTTAGTGTGGTAACTTTTGCCATCCAGTGGCTTCCTCAATCTAATACAGAAGCCACTCTGTGTTAATTTAATATCTTTATTATGCACCTCATACCTATGCTGTGGGTGGTAGTCAAAAAGATTACAGAGGTACATAATGGGTCCAGGGACTTGGACCCAAAGTTTTGATAGTGATAGCTGAACAAGTTAGGAAGGCAGTGAACCATTCAAACATCCATACCTGATAACAATTGCAGTGAGTTATGCAAATCTTAGCTTTATTTACAGTGAGCCACTTTGTGGTGAAACATTTTCACAATAAAGATGCCCAGGTATTGCCCAAGTGTCATATTCATTATCCTGTTACTTCTCTAAATCATTTATCATGAGTCATATGGCTCTGGCTGTTAAAGCTCTGAACAATAACACAGACTACAATAATGAATACTGTAATGACAAAAAAACGTATTACCTCTTCTTTGACAACTCTTCTTTATTACCACTAAATTAACTGAATGGCTTAATAATGTATTAAGTTAATTAAAATGTAGATTTTAAACACTTCAAAATAAAGAGCTCTGTGTTTTAAGGTGACATCAATCATTCTTAAGAAGAAGTATGCACAAAAAACCCACACATAGAGGAGAGAAGCTTACAACAATGTTTTGGTCCATCTTCAACCACTTACAAAGTCACTGGACTTTATAAATGGTCAAAGATGGGCCGAAAAGTCGTCATAAGTTTCTCTTCTCTATGTGTGGATTATTTATGTATTGTTCCAGTCACTGTATTGTGCATTTTTGTTCTTAAAACGAAGTGTTCTTCCAAACTTCCTCCTGGATTTTACATAATGTGCTCACCTCGCATGGAGTCAGGTCAATGGTCTTTCATTTACTCAATAAGAACCCCAGTGGGTCTAGCACTTAATTATGATTGTAATAATAATAATAATCGATAATAAATATAATCCTTTGATTTACAGGCTTATTTCTTAATATCTCACTTTAGAAAGTGAAACATGAGGGAACAAACTGAAAGATAGTTAAATAGATAGCACTATTTAGTTAAGTAGCTTCATTTAATCAATAAACAGTGTTTTGCTTTGTCCATCAGTTTTTACCTCATTTTGATAGTAATTAAATAAGTTTCATCAGATATGTCAAATTATAAAATTGAAAGTTTGTGTGAGATGACTTTTCAATAGGCAAAAGGCTAGACAGAAAGGAAGAATTCAGATATTTTGGTAATCATATTTAAAACAAACTCACAGATTTTGGATTTAAGAATGTTTTGGATGCTTCACTTTGTGTTAAAATTAATAAAATGTGTTTTACAGTAAATGGAGAAATGCCTTGTAAGTTTATTTAAAAAAAATTTCATTTTCAGATCATATTACACGCGTAAGAAATTCCGCACAGTTTATGAAAACACAATGATGAAATCTCCACGGCTCCTCCGTAACAACAGTAGCATTTTTCAGGCTAGTAAGAGTCTCCTTCAGAAGAATCCCACTAATTCTCCGAAGTCCTACTTAAGTCCAGGGGAGCTGCATTCCAAATTCGAGTTTGATTATCCTTTCAGCGAACTCTTGGTGAGTAAAAAAAAATAAGTATTATTATTATTTTAACACATCGGTGTTTCCCACCGAGGGAAGGTGACCCAAGAAAGAAGAAACACTTTGATTTATTAAATTGCTTAAAATCACTAATTCTTAGCAACTTCATGATAGACTTACACTGGATTCCCCTGAATTTGTGCTTAGTAATTTTTTTTTTTTTTTAGCAAGTCGGCCATCTCCCACCAAGGCAGGGTGACCCCAAAAAGAAAGAAAAAATCCCCAAAAAGAAAATACTTTCATCATCATTCAACACTTTCACCTCATCATACATAATCACTGTTTTTGCAGAGGTGCTCAGAACAACAGTGTAGAAGCATATACATATAAAGATACACAACCTATCCCTCCAAACTGCCAATATCCCGAACCCCTCCTTTAGAGTGCAGGCTTTGTACTTCCCATTTCCAGGACTCAAGTCCGGCTATATAAAAATAACCGGTTTCCCTGAATCCCTTCACTAAATATTACCCTACTCACACTCCAACAGATCGTCAGGTCCCAAAAACCATTCGTCTCCATTCACTCCTATTGAACACGCTCACGCACGCCTGCTGGAAGTCTAAGCCCCTTGCCCACAAAACCTCCCTTACCCCTTCCTTCCAACCTTTTCGAGGACAACCCCTACCCCGCCTTCCTTCCCCTACAGATTTAAACGCTCTCCATGTCATTCTACTTTGATCCATTCTCTCTAAATGACCAAACCACCTCAACAGCCCCTCTTCAGCCCTCTGACTAATACTTTTATTAACTCCACATCTTCTAATTTCCACACTCTGAATTTTCTGCATAATATTTACACCACACATTGCCCTTAGACAGGACATCTCCACTGCCTCCAACCGCCTCCTCACTGCTGCATTCACAACCCATGCTTCACACCCATATAAGAGTGTTGGTACTACTATACTTTCATACATTCCCTTCTTTGCCTCCATAGATAACGTTTTTTGTCTCCACATATATCCTGCCTCCGTGGGAGACAGCCAACTTGTTGAAAAAAAAAAAATATATACCTCAAAAATATATACCACTCTCCTTTTTTCTCTCATCAATTCTGTGATTAACCTCATCCTTCATAAATCTATCCGCCGACACATCAACTCCCAAGTATCTGAAAACATTCACTTCTTCCATACTCCTCCTCTCCAATTTGATATCCAATTTTTCTTTATCTAAATCATTTGATACCCTCATCACCTTACTCTTTTCTATGTTCACTTTCAACTTTCTACCTTTACACACACTCCCAAACTCATCTACTAACCTTTGCAGTTTTTCTTTAGAATCTTCCATAAGCACAGTATCATCAGCAAAAAGCAACTGTGTCAATTCCCATTTTGTATTTGATTCCCAATAATTTAATCACACCCCTCTCCCGAACACCCTAGCATTTACTTCTTTTACAACCCCATCTATAAATATATTAACCCTTTGAGGGTTTCGGCCATACTAGTACGGCTTACGACCCAGGGTTTTTGACGTACTAGTACGCCTAAATTTTAGCGCCCTCAAATCTAGTGGGAGAAAGCTGGTAGGCCTACATATGAAAGAATGGGTCTATGTGGTCAGTGTGCACAGTATAAAAAAAATCCTGCAGCACACAGTGCATAATGAGAAAAAAAAAAAACTTTGACCGTTTTTTTGGAATAAAACAGCGACTTTGCACTGTATTTTTGTATGGTATTTATTGTTGTATTCTAGTTTTCCTGGTCTCATTTTATAGAATGGAAGACATATTACAGAAATTGAGATGATTTTGACTGGTTTTACAATGAAAAGTACCTTGAAATTGAGCTCAAAGTAGCAGAAATGTTCAATTATTACCAAAGTTCAAAAGTAAACAAATCATGCCAAGCGTCCAATACGCGTCAACTGGTGAGTCTAATATTCTTTTGCAAGTGCGCCAATATTATTTATACCATTTTTTACACTAATGCAGTAGTCTGCGTAACAGTAAATCTTCTATTTTTTGTGAGAATAAAAATTCAAAGTGGAAAGCAAAAGAATGTAAGAGGGGCCTTGAGACGTGACTAATGAACAGAGGAAATGTCATTTTAGTGCCAGGAATGTCTTTCTTGTTTATTCTGGACCCTATTCGGAAATTGGCATCTTTTGAAATTTGTGTGAAATTGGCAAAATTGCTAAATTCTGACCACTGTACTGGATAGTTGAATTGGTAAATGGGTGGTTTCTTGCACTCATTCGATAGAAAAAATGGAGTTCTAGCGAAATATTCATTTTTTTGTCGACTAGTACAGTTGAATTGGCCAAAAATGGGGCTCAAAGTGGGCAAAATCGCCGATGTGTAAACATCGCCGAAACTGCTAACTTCGCGAGAGCATAATTCCGTAAGTTTTCCATCAAATTTCATACTTTTGGTGTCATTATGATCGGGAAAAGATTCTCTATCTTTTCACAAGAATTTTTTTTTTTTTTTTAAATTTGGCCGACCCTGAGAACGAATCTCAGAGAGGGCCTGTCGACCATCAAAGGGCTAAACAACCATGGTGACATTACACATCCCTGTCTAAGACCTACTTTTATTGGGAAGTAGTCTCCCTCTCTTCTATACACCCCAACCTGAACCTCACTATCCTCATAAAAACTCTTTACAGAATTTAGTAACCTACCACCTATTCCACACACTTGCAACATCTGCCACATTGATCCCCTACCCACTCTATCATATGCCTTTTCTAAATCCATAAATGCAATAAAAATTTCCCTACCTTTATCTAAATACTGTTCACATATATGCTTAGTAATGTATACTTCATAAATTACAAAAATGCACAGTACTGTGACTGGAACAATACACAATCCGCACATAGGAGAGAGAAACTTGTGACAACATTTTGGTCCAATGTGTGACTTGTAAGCAGTCCAAGTTGGACCAAAACATCATCATAAGCTTCTCTCTTCTATGTGCGAGTTATCTGTGTATACTTCTTGTTTTTCTGCTGATTATTCTCTTCTATGTCTAGGTATGGGCAGTGTTAACTAAAAGACAAGGCATGGCAATGTTGATGTGGCAACATGGTGAAGAAGCAATTGCCAAGGCTCTTGTGGCAGCTAAACTCTTCAAGGCTCTTGCACATGAAGCAGCTGATGATGATCTTGAGACAGAGGTCTATGAAGAGCTCAAAGGATATGCTAAAGAATTTGAAACACTGGGTTAGTCATTTTGCTTTTGTATTAAACTACAGGTGCTGCTCGACTTACGATGGGGTTACATTCCGACTAACCCATCATAAAGCGAAAATATCCTAATTCGAATATGAATATGATATACTAAATAAATAATTGCTGTCACTGAATAAATAAATATATAATACAGTAATAAGTTTACTGAGTATACCAGGTAAAGTGAAAGGTAGGGTTATTATTGAAAGAATTAGAGGTAAGACAGAGCAGGATTGCAGATGAGCAAGGAGGCTTTAGAATGGGTAGGGAATGTGTAGATCAGGTGTTTACATTGAAGCATATATGTGAACAATATTTAGATAAAGGTAGGGAAGTTTTCATTGCATTTATGGATTTAGAAAAGACATATGATAGAGTGGATAGGGGAGCAATGTGGCAGTTGTTGCAAGTGTGTGGAATAGGTGGTAAGTTACTAAATGCTGTAAAGAGTTTTTATGAGGATAGTGAGGCTCAGGTTAGGGTGTGTAGAAGGGAGGGAGACTACTTCCCGGTAAAAGTAGGTCTTAGACAGGGATGCGTAATGTCACCATGGTTGTTTAATATATTTATAGATGGGGTAGTAAAAGAAGTAAATGCTAATGTGTTGGGGAGAGGGGTAGGATTAAATTATGGGAAATCAAATACAAAATGGGAGTTGACACAGTTACTTTTTACTGATGATACTGTTCTTTTGGGGGATTCTAAAGAAAAGTTTCAAAGGTTAGTGGACGAGTCTAGGAGGGTGTGTGAAGGTAGAAAGTTCAAAGTGAACATAGATAAGAGTAAGGTGATGAGGGTATCAAACAATTTAGATAAAGAAAATTTAGATATCACATTGGAGAGAGGGAGTATGGAAGAAGTGAATGTTTTCAGATATTTGGATTTTTTGACTTGTCAATAGATGGGTTTATGAAGGATGAGGTTAACCACAGAATTGATGAAGGAAGAAAGGTGAGTGGTGTGTTGAGGTATCTGTGGAGACAAAGAACGTTATCCCTGGAGGCAAAGAAGAGAATGTACGAGAGTATAGTGATACCATCACTCTTATATGGGTGTGAAGCATAGGTTGTAAATATTGCAATGAGGAGGCAGCTGGAGGCAGTGTGTAGTGTAAATATTATGCAGAGAATTTGTAGTGTGGAAACTAGGTGTGGAGTTCTATTAGTGAGAGGGGCAAAGAGGGGCTGTTGAGTTGGTTTTGTCATTTAGAGAGAATGGAGCAAAGTAGAATGACTCAGAGAGCATATAAATCTGTAGGGGAAGAAAGGTGGGGTAGGGGTTGTCCCCAAAAAGGTTGGCGGGAAGGGGTAAAGGAGTTAAAGGAGGTTTTGTGGGCGAGGGGCTTAGAATTCCAGCAAGCATGTGTGGGCATTTTAGATAGGGGTGAATGGAGACGAATGGTTTTTGGGAATTGAGCTGTTGGAGTGTGAGCAGGGTAATATTTTGTGAAGGGATTCAGGGAAACTGGTTAGCTGGACTTGAGTCCTGGAAATGGGAAGTACAATACCTTCACTTTAAAGGAGAGGTTTGGAATATTCGCAGTTTGGGGGGACATCTAAGCTGTCGTATTTGAGCGTTTCTGCAAAGACAGTGATTATGTATGAGTGATGGTGAAAGTGTTGAACGATGATGAAAGTTTTTTCTTTCTTTTTGGGTTTTTCTTTTTTTTGGGGGTTTTCCTTTCTTTTTGGGTCACCCTGCCATGGTGGGAAACGGCCAGTATGTTAAAAAAAATACAGTAACTAACTAAATACCAATTTTAAAAATTAAATAAGTGAATACAAGTTAGGGACTTGCTGCCTTCATACTGGGTAATTATCTCAAGTTTCATCTCTGAAGCAATTGCTTTTGCACCATAGTAAAGTCAAACCATCGTAAGTCAAGGGGCTTCAGCACTCTCCCCCAAACTGTCACTCTTGATGTGTATGTTCATTTAGCTTTTGATCACAAATTTTTTCCATAGAACGAGGTTATAATGAGGCATTATTTTTTGAAGAGTTTTAGTGTGAATATTCTGTTATTGGTATACCAAATAATGCAGTCTCCTTGAGTCACCCATCAAGGGCTATATCTTTGTTCTGGTGAAGGGCTCTTGATCCAAGGAGTTTTTAATCACCCTTTATTTGGCTCCCACTTGATTACCTCCTAATCCCCAGGTGTTGTATGAACTTTATTTATTTAGTATACTTTTGCACTTATATATATATATTAATGTTAAATTCTGTTGTGGCAGCTCTGCAAGTACTGGACTTTTGTTATCAGCAAGACGATGATCGGACACACCAGCTTTTAACTTATGAATTAAGAAACTGGTCTAAGCAAACTTGCCTCTCCTTGGCTGTCGCAGTTAATCACCGAGCTCTTTTGTCACACACCTGTTGCCAGATACTGCTAGCTGATCTTTGGCTAGGTGGACTCAGGACAAGGAAAAATACTAATATAAAGGTAAAAAAAAGTTATTCTCGTATTAAAAATGTATTCCTTCTGCCCGAAATGCCCCGGCATGATAGTGGCTTTCTTTGTACTTAACAAATCATAATTGTAATCACACATTGTAAGCATTGCAAAGAAATAAAATCTTTATAGATATAATCAGGGCTGTGGAGTCTTCACATAAAACCTCTGACTCCTTTATTTAGGGCACCTCCAACTCCTTTAATTACATTTTACCAACTCCAGTAACCCTAGAATTGCTTCCAACTCGGACTCCATGGCCTTGGTTCTAACCTTCAAAAATATTTTTTTTTTTTTTTTTGGTGTGTGCATGACATAACTGATCTAACAAAAGAGTTTCATGATGGATGGATATATATGTATGTATGTATGTATGTATGTTTATTTTATTTTTTTTTATTATCACACTGGCCGATTCCCACCAAGGCAGGGTGGCCCGAAAAAGAAAAACTTTCACCATCATTCACTCCATCACTGTCTTGCCAGAAGGGTGCTTTACACTACAGTTTTTAAACTGCAACATTAACACCCCTCCTTCAGAGTGCAGGCACTGTACTTCCCATCTCCAGGACTCAAGTCCGGCCTGCCGGTTTCCCTGAACCCCTTCATAAATGTTACTTTGCTCACACTCCAACAGCACGTCAAGTATTAAAAACCATTTGTCTCCATTCACTCCTATCAAACACGCTCACGCATGCCTGCTGGAAGTCCAAGCCCCTCGCACACAAAACCTCCCTTTACCCCCTCCCTCCAACCTTTTCTAGGCCGACCCCTACCCCGCCTTCCTTCCACTACAGACTGATACACTCTTGAAGTCATTCTGTTTCACTCCATTCTCTCTACATGTCCGAACCACCTCAACAACCCTTCCTCAGCCCTCTGGACAACAGTTTTGGTAATCCCGCACCTCCTCCTAACTTCCAAACTACGAATTCTCTGCATTATATTCACACCACACATTGCCCTCAGACATGACATCTCCACTGCCTCCAGCCTTCTCCTCGCTGCAACATTCATCACCCATGCTTCACACCCATATAAGAGTGTTGGTAAAACTATACTCTCATACATTCCCCTCTTTGCCTCCAAGGACAAAGTTCTTTGTCTCCACAGACTCCTAAGTGCACCACTCACCCTTTTCCCTTCATCAATTCTATGATTCACCTCATCTTTCATAGACCCATCCGCTGACACGTCAACTCCAAATATCTGAATACATTCACCTCCTCCATATTCTCTCCCTCCAATCTGATATCCAATCTTTCATCACCTAATCTTTTTGTTATCCTCATAACCTTACTCTTTCCTGTATTCACCTTTAATTTTCTTCTTTTGCACACCCTACCAAATTCATCCACCAATCTCTGCAACTTCTCTTCAGAATCTCCAAAGAGCACAGTGTCATCAGCAAAGAGCAACTGTGACAACTCCCACTTTATGTGTGATTCTTTATCTTTTAACTCCACGCCTCTTGCCAAGACCCTTGCATTTACTTCTCTTACAACCCCATCTATAAATATATTAAACAACCACGGTGACATCACACATCCTTGTCTAAGCCCTACTTTTACTGGGAAATAATTTCCCTCTTTCCTACATACTCTAACTTGAGCCTCACTATCCTCGTAAAAACTCTTCACTGCTTTCAGTAACTACCTCCTACACCATACACCTGCAACATCTGCCACATTGCCCCCCTATCCACCCTGTCATACGCCTTTTCCAAATCCATAAATGCCACAAAGACCTCTTTAGCCTTATCTAAATACTGTTCACTTATATGTTTCACTGTAAACACCTGGTCCACACACCCCCTACCTTTCCTAAAGCTCCTTGTTCATCTGCTATCCTATTCTCCATCTTACTCTTAATTCTTTCAATAATAACTCTACCATACACTTTACCAGGTATACTCAACAGACTTATCCCCCTATAATTTTTGCACTCTCTTTTATCCCCTTTGCCTTTATACAAAGGAACTATGCATGCTCTCTGCCAATCCCTAGGTACCTTACCCTCTTCCATTACATTTATTAAATAATTGCACCAACCACTCCAAAACTATATCCCCACCTGCTTTTAACATTTCTATCTTTATCCCTCAATCCCGGCTGCCTTACCCCCTTTCATTTTACCTACTGCCTCACGAACTTCCCCCACACTCACAACTGGCTCTTCCTCACTCCTACAAGATGTTATTCCTCCTTGCCCTATACACGAAATCACAGCTTCCCTATCTTCATCAACATTTTAACAATTCCTCAAAATATTCCCTCCATCTTCCCAATACCTCTAACTCTCCATTTAATAACTCTCCTCTCCTATTTTTAACTGACAAATCCATTTGTTTCTAGGCTTTCTTAACTTGTTAATCTCACTCCAAGACTTTTTCTTATTTTCAACAAAATTTGTTGATACATCTCACCCACTCTCTCATTTGCTCTCTTTTTACATTGCTTCACCACTCTCTTAACCTTTCTCTTTTTCTCCATATACTCTTCCCTCCTTGCATCACTTCTACTTTGTAAAAACTTCTCATATGCTAACTTTTTCTCCCCTACTACTCTCTTTACATCATCATTCCACCAGTCGCTCCTCTTCCCTCCCGCACCCACTTTCCTGTAACCACAAACTTCTGCTGAACACACTAACACTACATTTTTAAACCTACCCCATACCTCTTCGACCCCATTGCCTATGCTCTCATTAGCCCATCTATCCTCCAATAGCTGTTTATATCTTACCCTAACTGCCTCCTCTTTTAGTTTATAAACCTTCACCTCTCTCTTCCCTGATGCTTCTATTCTCCTTGTATCCCATGTATGTATGTATGTATATATATATGTATGTATATATGTATGTATGTTCTAGGTAGTAGGTTGGTAGACAGCAGCCGCCCAGGGAGGTACTACCGTCCTGCCAAGTGAGTGTAAAACGAGAAAGCCTGTAATTGTTTTACATGATGGTAGGATTGCTGGTGTCCTTTTTTCTGTATCATGAACATGCAAGATTTCAGGTACGTCTTGCTACTTCTACTTACACTTAGGTCACACTACACATACATGTACAAGGACATATATACATACCCCTCTGGGTTTTCTTCTATTTTCTTTCTAGTTCTTATTCTTGTTTATTTCCTCTTACCTCCATGGGTAAGTGGAACAAAATTCTTCCCCCGTAAGCCATGCGTGTTGTAAGAGGCGACTAAAATGTCGGGAGCAAGGGGCTAGTAACCTCTTCTCCTGTATATATTACTAAATGTAAAAAGAGAAACTTTTGTTTTTCCTTTTGGGCCACCCTGCCTCGGTGGGATACGGCCGGTGTGCTGAAAGAAAGAATGTATGTATGTATGTATGTATGTATATATATATATATGTATATATGTATGTATGTTCTAGGTAGTAGGTTGGTAGACAGCAACTGCCCAGGGAGGTACTACCGTCCCGCCAAGTGAGTGTAAAACGAGAAAGCCTGTAATTGTTTTACATGATGGTAGGATTGCTGGTGTCCTTTTTTCTGTCTCATGAACATGCAAAATTTCAGGTATGTCTTGCTACTTCTACTTACACTCAGGTCACACTACACATACATGTACAAGCATATATATACATACCCCTCTGGGTTTTCTTCTATTTTCTTTCTAGTTCTTGTTCTTGTTTATTTCCTCTTATCTCCATGGGGAAGTGGAACAGAATTCTTCCTCCGTAGGCCATGCGTGTTGTAAGAGGCGACTAAAATGCCGGGAGCAAGGGGCTAGTAACCCCTTCTCCTGTATATATTACTAAATTTGAAAGGAGAAACTTTGGTTTTTTCTTTTGGGCCACCCCGCCTCGGTGGGATATGGCCGGTGTGTTGAAAGAAAGAAAGAAAGATGTATGTATGTATATATGTGTGTATACAGTGGACCCCCGCATAGCGATTTTAATCCGTGCAAGAGGGCTTATTGTTATGCGAAATGATCGGTATGCGAATGAATTTTCCCCATAAGAAATAATAGAAATCAAATTAATCCGTGCAAGACACCCAAAAGTATGAAAAAAAAATTTTTACCACATGAAATATACATTTTCCTACACACAAAGAGAAGGATACATGCACAATAGTAGAGTAGTACATGCACAATATATATTGTGCATGTACTACTCTACTAAATGAAGAATAAATGACACCTTTATTGAAGATGCAGCAATGACTGATGAGACACTGTGTCCTGGGAGTGCCTTTTCCTCCTGAGTACTGTAGGTCCTGTTTGGCATTTCTTCCAGAACATGCCTTATCACACTGTGTATGCCACTACGATTCTTAAATCTCTCAAACCAACCTTTGCTGGCTTTAAATTCACTAATATGAGCACTAGTTCCAGGCATTTTTTCCCTGTTCACCTGGGTGTTAGTCGACTGGTGTGGGTTGCATCGGGAGACAAGATTAAGGACCCCAATGGAAATAAGTTAGACAGTCTTCGATGACACTGACTTTTTTGGGTTATCCTGGGTGGCAAATCCTCTGGGGTTAATTGTTTCTTGGTATTCTCAATAAGCCACACCAACAACGGTGCTACAGCAGCAGCAGCAGCAGCTGACAGTGATACAGCAGCAGCAGACGATGCTACAGCAGCAGCAGACGGTACTACAGCAGCAGCAGACGATACTACAGCAGCAGCAGCTGATGGTGGTACAACAGCAGCAGCAGCTGACAGTGCTACAGCAGCAGCAGACGATGCTACAGCAGCAGCAGATGGTACTACAGCAGCAGCAGACGGTATTACAGCAGCAGCAGCAGCAGCAGCTGACAGTGCTACAGCAGCAGCAGACGATGCTACAGCAGCAGCAGACGGTACTACAGCAGCAGCAGACGGTACTACAGCAGCAGCAGCAGCAGCAGCTGATGGCGGTACAACAGCAGCAGCAGCTGACAGTGCTACAGCAGCAGCAGACGATGCTACAGCAGCAGCAGACAATGCTACAGCAGCAGCAGACGGTACTACAGCAGCA